TTGAAATAATATGCGCAAATATTCTAAATGAAATAGAAAAATTATGCATTTTTATTATTAAAGATAGAAATAACTATTAAACTAGTAAACTAATCACAAAACCTACATATCATGTTCTTAGACCGTAATTTTAGGAATCTAAAAACAACAAGATGTAAGGTCTATCTGAAATAGTTACTGAAATATAAGCGATTTTATTAAGTACTGCAAGTATCCACCCCTAAAAACTTTGGCGGGCTCTAGGGAAAAAAGCAAGAGGGCTAGGGGTGGGGACTTTTGGCTGGAGACTTGTCTACATAGTAGTAGTCGATGGGAAAAAATCCAGCCTGTTAGTATTTTTTTTGTCTATCGGCCTATTTTAGGAACAGATTGACTGGACTATTAACAAACTTAGTGTTAAGGAATGTCAAGTGTTTGATTAACCAATCATAAAAATATTCTCTTCACTATCATATTTAATTTATTAAATTCATTAACACGTTAAGCTTATTTTATAAAAATAGTAGATTTAAATTAAGCTAATTCTTAACTTTTTTAAAAATACTAATAATATGTATATTTATAATAATTCATATAGGCCTATTTAATAATACTGCAAATTATGTGTTGTTAGCAGATGATGCATTTACAAGTTTTAAAAATGTCTTTAAGCATCCAAAAGCAATAGGTACAACTTTGTTTAACCTTCCCTCACCTCTGAAACGTTTAAGATAAATTGAACAAATTCATGAGGACAAATACGAGGGTAGATTACTGTGTAAGTACTGTAATGGGTAATGGCCGATTGGGAGTATTGCTCCTTAGTTCCCAGGTACGCCACAACTCTCCTCCGCCTCCTGCCTGGCATCATTTGTGAACAAAACTGTAGCAGTTCGTCAGTTGGAGCTATGTAGCAGATGTGTAAATTTTGCTGTTTGTCTGGAAAACTTTTAATATTATTGAATATCCCTCCGCATGAAGGATAAGATGAGTGAGTGTGCAATAAATATGTCAGCTGCAGACATTAACCACCAGATGAGCTTATAAGCTTATGACCCTAATGCAATGATAGGAGAAAGTGAAGAAACGGTTAGAAAGGTTATAAATGAACGTGAAAATTTTCACTTCGGAAGTAATTGTGATATTGGTGGGTACCTGATTTTTGTCAGAACAACACAAAGGAAGATGTTCACAGAAATGTTTACACCTCCAACCCGTTGCATTTATTGCATTAAGGTCATAACTTTCATTTATCTGGCGTTCAATGTCGGCATTAAATGTGGTTCTTGTGGTAAAAAAGTATCACTGATCTTATTTTGAATGTGGCAGAAGACTTTTTAAGATTAAGATTTTTTAATTTTATAAACACGCAGTGAAGCGTACTCATATTATAGAGCTCATATCATACTATAGAGTAACAAATTGCACCATTCTGTTCACCAATGATACCAACAAACAGCAAGCAGCCTCGCCGTGGCGTACTTGCAAACAACGGAGCTAAACTACGGCCTTTACTTACTTACTAACGTCCCTAGTAATTAAAAAAAGTGTTTGGTAACTATTTAAATATAAAACATTGAAGGAAAAAATATACATAACCACATATTATGCTTTTGTCTTATAAGTTGTAACATCCATAAAACTTTGCCCAACATGATTTAAATTATAATTTAGATTTGACAAGAATTAAAAAGAAGTTCAACACAAAGGAAAAACAATCAATCCAGATGAAACACAACCATTCAATTCAAAATTGTTATTGCAACTCAAACCATGTTTTGTTAACACAAAATGTGCTACCATGATGTAGTAACAATTAAAACTCACTTTTAACACGTTCAATACATCAGGAAATCAGTTCAACAACGTTTTAGATGGATAAATTTATTTTTGAAAATTACTATTGAAAGCAGGAGAAATATTAGTAGGCCTATAACATATCATGCAACATATTACCAAAAAAGCATATCATAAAAACTATAACATTACCACAGAAACATTAGCAATTCATGCAAAATCTAATCACATGCTACTGACATTCTATACTTTGAAAAAGACGCCTTTACTATATTTCTTTTTGTAAATAGTGCTACAGTAGTTTGATAGATTTGATTATTTGATCTATAGTTTTGTGAATTGTTTCATTTATGACTAAATTTGAGTATGGTAGGAAAAATCAGTCTGGTTTTCTAAATTATCAATTTATAAAATTTAGTAAAGTCAAACTAGAATACACACAAACACGAGTCAGTGTATTCTTAGTGTTAAAAGAAACATCTCAATTTAACATTAGGTAGAGAGATGTTATGATAGTAAACTAGCCTATTAGCATGTTGAAAGAGGACTGAGAAAACACATTTTTTACAAAACTTATTTTTTACAAAAGTCTGTTTGTTATGCTGCTAAAGTATTTAACTACTTAATATACATTAAAACCTGTATTTCAATCAAGTTGATATGATTATAAACACTTACAGTTAACTGATTCAATTAAAAATTGGATATTGAAATTTATCTTACTCAGATAATATTTTAAAACTGTAAGTCTTATATACAAGTGATTTCAATAAGTATGTGCTGTGATGTATTTATAAACTTATTTTAGTTGAAACACCATTGCACAGTAATATTATTGCATAATTCATGGAATTGTGAGCTTTTGACTGAGGAGGTAGCTGCAATAAGGGCCTATGGATCCATAGGCCCTTTTTGCGGAGAACGTTTCTTTCAATTCTACACATGTTTGTTGGTATACCTGCAAAGTTTCATATTTGGATCTGAAGTATTTTTTTTTTTGTACAGCTGTTATAAGAAAGTTGTGTATAGGCCCTTCTTGCATAGATCGAGGTTAATGACACTGAATGTTATGTATAGGGTGTCCCACGAAGGGGTTTAAACGTTTGATTTTATATTACGCGCCCATTCATGCACCGAACTTTTTGAAACTTTACACAGTTTACAAGGTAGGTTTTAAAAATATTCTGGAAAAATTTCAACTCCCTAACCTTAGTAGAAACAAAATGGCGGCATATTGAAAAAGTTACTTTAAAACATTAAAAAAGGTATTTTTGGTTTTATAAAATATTTTTATTGTTACTTTCCAGGGCAATATGACTTTAAAACAAGAAAAAATTAGAACATAGCCAAATGGAAAACTAAAAATTAATCAAATAACTAATAAATAATAATAATAAATAAATAACTAATAATAAATCATGAAAGTAGTTTTTATAGAAAGCACATTGGTAAATTTGTCAATAAGCCGCCATTTTGTTTCTACTAAGGTTAGGGAGTTGAAATTTTTCCAGAATATTTTTAGAACCTACTTTGTAAACTGTGTAAAGTTTAAAAAGGTTCGGTGCATGAATGGGCACGTAATATAAAATCAAACGTTTAAACCCCTTCGTGGGACACATCGGTATGTTATGAATGTTATTATGTTTGTTTTGTTCAGTTTTGGAGTGTGTTAGTGACCAAACAATAGGAATATTCAGTTTATTTTATTCTTTAACATCATGCTAACTACTAAATCTACTATTTTGGACACTTTTAAGAATAAGGGTGCTAAGAAGAAAAGTGAAAATAAGGAAGAATGGGCTCGAAATACTAGAAAACGTCAAAGGTTATTAAATTAAATTAAATTGTAAAGACATTGAAAGATAAAAGTATTAGATATCCAACTAGCCTATGACTCACTTTTTTTATTGTAAAATAAAAGTGTTACATTTTCAACTATGACTCATATTTTACTGTGCAGCCTACCTTTTTTTCTCTTACAGGTTACACTATGATTTTATTATTTTTAATTACTGAGCCGGTAAGATGTCATTTTAAATTTAAATTTTTCTTATCAAACTGTTAGAAATTGCCTAAGAAAACGCATATTTTATGCTTTAACAGATCATATAAATATTGGTCTATGCAAAAAGGGCATGTAAAAACTTCATCTATGCAAAAAGGGCCCATGCACTATTTCACATAAACAAAAAATACTTAATAGCCTGATATTGTTATTAAAAAACCATGGTAACAAAATTTGCTTCAGGTTCTAAAGAATATGGAGAAGTATTCCAAGTTAGATTCTTAGTAAATGCAATATTTATGCAAGAATGACATTTTTTCGAACTCGTTTTTCTCAAATCAATGTTCTGGCATAAAGGCCCTTTTTGCAGCTACCGCCTCTGTATGAATAGGCCTAATAGTTAAATGGGAAAGACAATGGTTCGGTTGTAAAAAGAGTGTTTTTTTTATCTAAAACTTTAGCATGTATGCACATACATTGTTGGATATTAAAATTAACTGGTACAGCTATTAAAGCTTCAAGTAACGATAAATTTAATTTTAAAAATCAATATTTTTGCCATGAAAACAGACCTGAGCATTATTTTCAAAAACGAAAAAGTAATTTTACTTATTTTTAAACAATATAGGTTTTTTATTAATTGACTAAAGAATGTCGTTCAATAATGATACAAGTGATTTTCAAGAAACTGAGTTTACTCATCCAAAAGAATTTTGTGATAAAAACCAATGTAAACTATGTACAGTACCAGAGATATGAATTCAAATTATGGGCCACTTTATATTATGCCAACAAACATCAATGTTATCGCTACAGACTGTATTTTAAAGAATAGTGATGGTTAAGTAACAAAATTCCTAATCCCTTATGAATAAAAATACTCATAAGGTTTTCATTTAACTCAACTCAGATGATTAGTTTTTATCTTGCAAAATGTTTTCTCTCAGTCCAGATTTAAACTAGTAGATTAGTTTTTGCCAGTAGAAAACAAAGTTTTTTAGTGTTCTACTAAAATTGGTTACCGTTGAATTTTGAAGTTTTAATGTAAAGTTGTTAAAGCAAAGCTTAAGTTTTTGAGTGTAGTTGTCAAAGTTGAGCTTATATTTTTGATTGTAAAATAGTTGTAAAAGTTGAGCATAAGTTAGGACTTGCGCGGTGAGTTAGTGTCAGCCGAGATGCACGAGCAAGAGCAAGCAAGCTCTAACAGGAAGAAACTGACCTCGTCTGCATCCAAGCCCAACTGCTGAAAGAGTCAAAATTGGACTAACTGTTTACAACTGAATACAACCATCGCGTTAATGAAGCTACGCTAGGTTCAACATTGAAGACAACTATATTTACAGTTACATACACCATTAACTAACTGTAGAAAAATCCATTGTTCAAGTTGAATTGGAATTTCTATTCAAAGAACCACCGATAATCGTCTACAGTTAGTTGAAGATAACATAGCTCCACCATGCAATGGGTACAACATTGAAAGACTAGGCTAGATTAACCATGGTGAAAAAAGATTGGGAAGAAATCGAAATCAGAGGAGTTCATAGAGAGAGAGAGATAATTTAAATTTTTGTTTAACACATTTAATTTAAAAGTATTGAAGTTTTACTTCTTACACTTTTAGAATAACAAAATAGTACTTTATGCAAACAGATGAAATTCGAACCCCTCTAAAAATATTTATTGATTAAAATTGCAAATTATCATAAAATATCAATAACATTTAATATCCTTAAAAGCAAAATATTTCAACGATTTCAAGGCTGAAGAGTGCCTTTTGCCTTAATACTGAGAAGTAAAAACATATTCATATTCATCACTATATTCAAGTTAGTTATCTACCTATTCAACTTTGTTTCTATGTTCAACACTTAATTGATTGTTACTTCTATTCAACCTTTTAAGTTAGTAACATAACTCTACAAAAAGTTAAACTACACAAATATTAAAGTTAGCTAAAATCATATTTAATTCTAGTTTATTAAAAAGGAATAGTTCTAGAAACATTAACTGATCTACAATTAACTATTTTAAGATCTAGACACTTAATGGTCACTTGAGGACACTTAAGGAATCAATAAAACTATAAAACTTCAAAATATTATAAACAAAAAAAATTGTGATTGATGATAATTTTAAAATGATATTTTTTAGCATTTATCACCTAGAAATTAATGTATAACACCTCTGTCCACTCTTTTGACAAACTAAATCGTTTGCCAAGAAATTTAACGTCAATGATTAATTTAAAATATTTATAAAGATCTTATTTAATTTCTACTTTGAAAATAGAGGTACTCAACTAGGAGTTAGAAGCTAAGTTACTGTGATACTGAGGTTTATATTACCATTCACAAAAGTGAGTTCATTGTCATCTAGACATCGAAACGTCAAAGTAAGAACATTTTAAATAAGAGTGAATAAGTTTGTGATCTTTGATTATAAATCCTCAAGCTAACCGAAAGACATTTTTTTGGGGAGTACCATTTTACCAGGTAAAGGAAAACATTACTAAGATGTATTTATTTGTTCTTCTATAATCTGTACATTTACAGTTGTATAAAGTTACTTTTTAGTTTTTTTTTCAATCCACCATAAAACTTGTTCTGATAATTTTAAAGTTAGTCTTAAATTAAAATACATTATTATGAACCATTAAGAAAATTGAGAAAATATTTATTGAGTAACACTAACCAGTCTTATTAAAGAACAAGAGTGGTAGCTATAGCTGCTGACGGAATGGCATATTGAAATGGGGAAATTACATTTCCTAACTAGAGGTGAAAGTTATCATTGACTTTGGGTAGGCCAACACAAAAGCTTTTTTTGTTAGATTTTCAAAATATGATGTACGTGCTTTTCTCCCTTGTTATTTCAGAGGACCAAACATACACATTTTATGAATATTTTTTTGAGCTGAATCTGTTAGTAGATGAAATAAGAAGAAAAAGTATGAAACATATAAATCCTCATTACGTGTACTGGAAAGAAATGTATCTTGGTATTATCTACAAAGAGAAAAATGAAAGAGTGATTTTACTAACCAACCACTATCAAAAGCTTTTAGTGAATTTTCATATAGGGGAGTAGCTATTACCGTAGGTGGCATAGTGAGACCTGGGCCCAGGACCGATTTACTTTTTTGTAAAATCTTTTTCATTTGTGAATATAGGCCTTTGCGTTTGTGAACGCGATAACTCAAGTAATTTTGGTCCAATTTTGATGAAATTTGGCTTGAAGGAGTGGGCCAGATAAACTTGAATAACTTTGGGAACCAGCAAGATCGAGACATGAGAACAAGGTATTGGAGAGTTTTTGAATTTTCAAAAAATAGTTTTTCCCCTAATTTTTACCCTTAAAACATTGAAAGGCATGATTTTCTATGAGACCATCTTGTATAGCTTAAAAAACAAATAATTTTATATATTGTTGTTGTAAAATTAAACGTGACAGAGAAAATTCAAAAAATCTGTAGGAATACATTTTAAGATGTATTCGATATTAAAAATCTTAGTCTGCAGGTCTGCTGCGGCAGGGGTATTTATTATGCTGTGCACCCAATAAAAAAAAACTATTGTTTAGGGGGTTATCAACCCTTCAACCTAAGCCGTATCGTCGTAGTTTAAAGTTAAAACAGATTTTTCCGGCGTGAGAAATAGGTTTAAATAGCTAACTTATCCACCTTTTTGTCGCTCATAGTTTTATATATACAATAATTTACCTCAAGAAACATTCGACAAACTTATTCACACTTGGATTAAGACTTATGCCCACAACACTAGTGACTGACAACGATTTTGAAAGCAAAGCGAAGTTGATTGTAGATAGTTACCTCGTCAGTGTCAGAGCCGAAGAGCAGGAGGTCGAAGGGAATGGCTGCCACGAGATCTATGAGGAACCAGCCTCTCAAGTAGTGGACTGCAATCTTCCCAGGATGTGACACGACCTCGTCATTGTTGTTTACATACGTGGTTCTGAAGTTGATGAGAATGTCTACGATGAATGTCACATCGACTGGAAAGAGAGATACACAACATAAGAGAAATTGTAGTATGAGCCTGAAGTTTAAAAAATAAGTTATTTGAAACTGCTAACTTACTAGCCAAGAAGAGAACTGTGCTAGGTCTCTAATTATTATTTCAGGTGTGCTAGCAATGGCATATTGTGCAATAATTAAACAGCAGGTACATACATGTTAATCAATTTCAATCAATCAAAAAGTTCTTGAAGCGGCACTTTGTTACGTACCGGTACTTAAAGTTGAATAGGATATGTGTTGAATAATGTGAGGATTTGTAACATTTGTAGAGGTATTACTAATACCAGTCTAATGTATTTAGCCAGGACCCTATTTTAAAATTCCAACCATCAATGTCAGTTGGGTAAAGTTTTGAACCAGTCTAAAAGCTATCGTTTTTCAGGGCCAAACCACACACTCGGCTACTTATCTTATATCAGCCCATCTGATTTATGTACACATTTCAGTAAATTTTTTATAGTGATAACATTAAAAGGAAAAGGAAAAGGCAAACATGATAAAGCGCAGCAATGATGGGGCGGTAAAAAATAACCCTTAACGGCTTAACTGTTATCCGTTAACCAATTTGAGAATATGACCAAGAGAGAATAGTCAGTTTACAGAATTCAGAGATGTCGAGTCGCGTATTCTAACATCAGTTTAGTCGCCATTTGACTTACCTATTAGGTCTATAATGACAATAGGATCATCGCCGTATTTCTTGTTCTTTCTAGTGCTGAAGTCAGGCTCGTTGAGCAAGAAGGCGGCCACGTAAGGTGTGAAGATGGCTGTGTACATGACCAACAAGAGGATGATCCAGTCCCACACTGCCTTGAAGGGGCTGTAGTGAAGAACTGTCCACTTGTGTATTCTGGGGGACTGCAGCTTGTACTCCGGCAGTACGTCGGCACCCAGCGATAATACCTGCAACAAAAACACATCTTCAGAAATATATAGTTGTCCTTGGAAATTTAGACGTCAGTACACAAGGTGATCCCACAAGAGGGCTCTGCACGGTTTCTTTATATTTATGGAAAATTGTACAGCCATTTTATTTTGGACATTTATTATCGAGTGCATGTGTGTGTTTCTGAATCATAGATTTTTTTAAGATTTCTCATAAGTAAACGGACCACACTGTGTTCTTGTTACTATTCAACGTCAACCTTATGTCAGAAAGTCCAATGAAAAATGGCATCTGGATCGGACATCGGCTTGGGATTGAACCAGTCAATATAGGGATACACGGAGTTGAGATAGGTAAGGTGGCGATGTATAGTTTGTTGTTCTATTGTAGAAAAACTTCAAGCTAGTTAGCAGGTTTAAGTAGCAAGAGTAGGAATAAAAAGAGTAAAGACGGAAGTAGCTGCAGAAAAAAGACCTTCGATTAAAACAAAAGTATCTCTGGCACAATTGTGTTCAATTGGACTATATATACAATTTGCAATGAATTATGTATAGCTTTGTTTGCGGGTGTTGACCAATAGTAAAAATAGAACATGGCAAACCTAAAACTTCTCACTCTCGAACTCCTTGTAAGAGAACACTCAGTCAGTTTTGTATATCGAGATCTCCTTTCCTGTTGAATAAACAATGGCTGTCAGTCATCGACGTCTTTGGCAGCATCTGCTTCAGTGATGTGCCAGAACGAAATAGTCTTCCTGTAGTAGTTTTACATCATTCTTGACTTCAAAGTCAGGTAAACTACGTTTGTAAATGTTAGGATTTTTAAAATAAGAAATTAAGTGTTCATTTAACAAAACAAATTCATGCTCTCAAAATAGTAAAATGTTCAAGTACCATTTACTTTGAAGGATTTCAACTAACTTAAATCTTCTCGGTATTTGAAACTGCTGTAGTAGTAAGGTACTAAAAGTACTGCCTATCTTAATAAGAGTATATATCTTGAGATAATTGAGTAACATACAAACTATCTTAATAATAATTATTATCAATTATCTTTAATAATTGAGATTGATGGCTATACTGTTGTTAATAAAAAAAAAACTGTTCCGGTATGGTTTTTTCATCAGAAAATTTTGGAAAATCGACAAGTCAAATTATTCGATTAAAAGTTATAAAGTCGTATTCAAATTATGACATCTTTTAGGCCTGTCCCTTTTTAATTTTGTTGGTAACTTATTTTTTATTTTGTTGTTTACACAACTGCCTCAGAAAGTTTGTCCCATGAAATGTGTCTTTATACAAATAAAATGTGTAGAAATAAAATCGTTTTAAACACAAAATGCAAAAGCAATGTTTGTTATTACTTAACCACACAGTCAAACTAAAACCAAGCAATTACACTACTATTATATCACAAATAACTTAGACTTTATCTGTCATCCCACCATTATAATCCTGGTGCCGTCGAATTTCTCGAGAATGGAAGGTCGCGCCAAGTCATATCCGATGGCGTTCCAACATTCCTTACACCACTTCATGACTGCTTTCCTTATACACTTCACTTGCGCTTAGTTCCGGTTGCCTACTTCACTACTTCCGTTTCACTACTAATTCACTGAGTTCTTTCACAAATCCAACCGTTGTCGCTTATTTTATAGTTCCTGGCAAAGGTACAAATTAGCTTTAATGTTGACATCAATGTAATTGGTAGTAATTGGTTTGTATTTCAACTTTTTGGCACTCTAAAGCCAATTATTTTACACAGCTGCTATAACCATGTTATAAATGACCTCATTTTGTGGAGTGGTTTAACGTTAACAATGTCATTGTTTGTAGGATTAGAAAAAATTAATTCTAAGATATATCGAGTGGGTTCATTGTTCATAATCATTGGTGCTACTTTGAGTACAAAAAAAATAATCATAGTTTAGTAAACATTTTTTATTAAACCTTTTTTTTAACTAACCTAATTTTTTCTTGACTTAGTCCTCATAAAGCGCATTACTTGGCAATGTTATATTATACCAAGTGTATAATCAGAACTAATGCTTCAAACTAGTTCAATAGTTTTCGTGTTTTCATAAATATGTAATTATAAAATTCTCTTTGGTGGTAAAACGAAACAGTAATACATACTATGTACTGTGAACTATAACAATGCTTTAAACCAGTTAAGAATGTTACTAGAAAATGAAATAGCACTTTTTTTGCAAAATGTGTTTGCTATTCAATTTGACTTAAAAATGGATTTCCACGTATTGCTAAACTATTTTAAAACACAAAGCAAATACAAAATCTAGAATTTTTCATAAGTCACGCCCTGAATAAAAAAGTTAAAATTGGTAACCTAATTAAATAGTAAAACTAATTGGTAATATGACATGTGAAAACAGACTACACGTAAACATCTGTTAAATCACGTTGTACTTCGCCACTTGATCAGCTGATCGTCACTGGGTCACGTGATCAATGGTTCGTCACTCGTTGTAATCAGCTGTTTGTTACTCGGTCACGTGGTCAATAGTTCGGCACTCGTTGTCGTAATCAGCTGATTATTACTAATTTACGAGTATAACGATTCGTTGCTCGGGGTTGTGATAAGCTGATCGATAATTAAACACGTGATTAAATGTTTGTCACTCTGTCGTGTTATCATCAGCTGATCTGTCTACGTCACCGCACCACCGCCCTCCACCACAGTTTCACCACCACTGCCATCACCGCCACCTCCACCTCCACCTCCAGCCAGATGTCTGAGCCTCGAGAGGTATATTTCCGTCCAACATTGTCCAGAGATGCCCGAGTTAATTATAACCGATTGATGGGCGCGCCGCCGGAAGTACGTCAGTCGACAGACCGGAAGTGTCTGCTAATGATGACGAGTCAATATTAACAGTCTGTCCACTTAAACTGTTTGTTGTAATGAAAGCAAAAACAGCAATCAACTAATCAACAATGTGTTTGGGTTGGGTCGGATTCCCAAAGTGTTGTAGATTTTGCGATCGTTTTATGCTGTTTAGGGGAGAGTTATTTGACTTGAACTCACAAATGGAGAACAGTATATTTTAAATCACACGAATATGCCCCTAAACCTTAGAATGTGCGTGTACTGGATGATTGCAAAGGAATGACTGACATTTGGTATAGGAACAAAATGTTATTTTGAAGACAATACAGATTAAAAAAAAACTCCCGCCACATCAAACCTGCAGACTTAGCGAATTTCTATTTGCCTTATTGGATTTTCAATATAGATCTATTTAAAAAACATTAGGTTTAACAAGTGCCTAGGTTTGCCGCTACAGGGAGATGGGTAAAATATTAAAAGCTTAGTATAAAATAAATAAATATGCCAAGTTTATCCAAATACATCTATAAACAAGCAAACAACAACAGTTTACTTCTGCTATACTTGTATTTTAATCTATACTAAGGGTCGCCCCGTGGCCCAAAACTCGACCAAAAATAGTATTGTACAAACTTCTCTATTTTTACGCACGCTGTAAATAAAACATACGATTGAAATATTTTCCATTTTTAATTTTCTCTTTATATATCGTTGTTATTTCCTCATTAGCATGGCGATCCATGCCAGTGTTAATTTTTTTTTAAATTTGGAATATGTTGTGCTTATTTTTAGCCTATTTTAATTTATAAAGGATTCTGCACATCTAAAGGAAAATATTTCTCTAACAGTATGCGTAGATTTTACCTGTGATGCACACGAGCTGAGAAAAAAGTTATTTTAAGAAACATGCTTACCAATATAGGATTATAGGATTGATAGTTCGCAAATAAATTATTTCTGAAATCACCTTATTGCAACCGTAGTGAGCAGACCTGTTTTTGCAACTGTATGTCTCCTAATCAGCCTAAATGAATGTGAAGATAATCTGTATTTCCTTGTAATATAAAATACAACGGCGCGACTAGTCAATATAGATACAAGCAAGTAGTGCGTGTATTGCCTACTGAAGGCGCAACATATGTCTGCTTAGTGCTTAGCTCCGAGTTAACTAAATTAAAAGAATTGTATGTGTGCGAGAGGGAAAAAACAAACACACTTTAAAATGGTTATCATATCATGCTAATATTATATGTGAAAGTGTGTGTGTGTGTGTGTTTGTTTGAAGTTCAATAACGCATTAACTTCGAGACGGATTGGGCTGAAATTTGGCAAGATGATACCTCACATTCCCGATTAACATATAGGCCTTTTCTTATCTCAAATAACCTTACGAGCTCCGCCCCAGTGGCTCTGTAGTTCCCCATGTTAACCTTACGAGTATTCACATTTAAAATAACTAGCAGAATACCCGTCCTTCGTACAGGATTGGTGTAGAAGTATAAAATGCTTATTGCAGTTATACCGTGCTTTGCGTTTGCAATGGGAGAGGATACGGTTTGAGAAAATTTTGTTTATTTTAATTGACGGTACGCTATAGTATAACATACCTACCATAGCTATAACGTTCTACTACTACACCTAAAAAAATTGAATATTTGTACAACACCATAAGTTTATGTATAATTAAAACATAAGACTACCTGTAAATAATCCTACTTTGATAGTTCTTATTCCTATCACAAATTTTTGTCACTTCTTGAATCAAATTAACTGTTGTCAAAAATGCAAAAACGCACTACGGAGAACTGTTTTCTTATCCACCCCACGACTATTTACGTTTATGGCCAGCCTTGGAATAAAAAAGGAACCCAGTTGATTTTACAAACATTATAATAATAATGTGATGCCGATTTTTAAGTGTCCAATTTACCTACTATTTAAACATGTAACCTTACTATAAACTGCAACCCCAGTGTCACATCAACCCCCATAGTATCAAATACTGAGAGAAAATTAAATTTTTCTAGTAGCACTATCTGTCAGAGGCTAATCCAATAATGTTAAATTTGATTCATTAAACTCTTTACTGATAGTGCACGTAGATGGAACGATTCCTTTAGTAACCACATTTGGGCATAGACCATTTACGTTGGGCTACCTCATATTTTTG